TAATAAATTAAAATTAATTTTCAGGAAAAATAGTATTCAGGATTAAATTTAAATAAATCAAAATTTAAGCTTTAATTTATAAAATTTTTGAAACTTGCAGAAGTATTATCTAACCTTTTCTTTCATGAAATTTAAGTTTTATTTCTAATTTTTCCAAGTGTAATTTTTGATTACCTTTTTTTCTGCTCAAAAATGTCTATTTCTATTCCTCCCCCCCCCCTTCTTTCCATACACCGTTTTGCGTAAGCATTGCTTCATATCTTTCTNATGAGCAAATCACAAATAGCTCCCCTTTATTTATGTGCTTAAATCAAATTTAAACAGCTCCTAACATTTAATGACATCTATGACATTATTTAACGTCTATGACATTTCAATTATTATCATGTATTCCTTTCCCAAATAATAATTTTTTTTTAATATCAATTCACAATCTAACTCCATCTTCCTAGAGTAAAAATAATATTGTCATTAATATATCTCGGTAATTTTTAGTAGCACTTCTTAAAAACATATTAATCAAAACGTTGCGTAAGCACTTAGAGGGAGTGGTTTGAAGTGTGCTTATGTTTGAGGTCAATGAGAATCTACGCTTACGTTCGATCAAACAATTGTCAAAGAAAAAAATTATTGCTAACTGATGATGTTATTTATTTATTTGAAAAATATCAAGAATATTTTTTCCTTGCCTTATCTCAATATTATTTGTTTCTAGGTGAGAAACCTTGCGCATGCTTCCTAGAATAATAATAAAATGTATTATACAAAAGCAAAATAAATAAATAAATAAACAGAATGCCACTATTTACTTGAATTTAAAGCTTTATTCTAACTAAGTCCAATCAATAAAAATTACTTGGGTCTATTATAAAGGATGCTAATAATTTTTTTGAAAAAATATTCATCAGCTTTCTTACTTTTTTCAGAAATCTTATAAGATTAGCATGTTTCTTATATTTGTTGATAAAAGGTGGAAGAAAGATTTCAAATGAAGCAGAAAATAACTTTATTTATATTTGAACGACCCCTTATATCTGTATAAAAGAAAGCAAAAGTTATGTAAGATCAACTAGTACAAATATTTATGCTAATTGCAGACAGCGTCTTCACTTCCACAGCAGAGATGTATTTCGTTTCGTTGAATGATGGCTGTATACAGCATCGAAGAAGCTATACACAACTAAATCATTTTATATATGCTACGTTCCTGTTAAATATATGTTTCACCAAAATATACATAATTACGCTTTATTATAATACGTAAATAAAGTCGCCTTACAAAATTTAAGTATAAGTCTTATGTAAAAGCTGTTAGTCCTTATAGGTTTAACTATATTTTTTTAAATCGATAAAAATAATCGTTAAATCTTTAAAAAAAATGAAACAAATTTTTTTAAAAAGAATTACAAGTTAACACATTTATATTATTTTTGCGTTTTCTAACGTTAATTTCTGTTAAATATGTTTCACTTAAATGTATACAATATTCTATTATTAGTAGTTTAATTATATCATATTAGTACATAAATGCATGAACTTATCTATAAATGTTATGTTATAAGTATAAACTTCACATTAGGTTGTATGTCTTTTCGGTTTTAATATTTTTTGAATTGGTTTGCCTTCTAAACGATGAGAACATACGAATCTTTAAAAATTATTTTGCAAAACAATTAAAGTCGAAAAATTAAATGGATTAAAGAATCAAATTCTTTACCTCAAATTATTCATTACCTAAGTCGCAATTATAATAAGGTTTTTGTTGTTTAGAACTGGTTATCCACAAGTAAAATAAATCTTTAATTATATAAATACAAACGAAGTTCTTCAACGAACGAATTTTAAATAACTTACATTCAACTCATTTTAAAATCGTTTTAGCAAATTTTATTTAAGAAAATAATGTATTTTGAGAAAACGATTTTGTTTAAGAAAACGATTATAGATAAATTAATTATTAAGTAATTTTTCTCAGCATTTGTATAGCATTCCGTAATTATCAACTGCTATTCAAAACAAAAATAATTTTGAAATAAAAGCTATAAGAACGATATTATTTTTTCAACAACAGCAAGAAATTAGTTTTCCATCAGCAGATGTTTTCAGATGAAACTGCATAAATGGAGGCAGAGCCCTAGCAACAGACGATTCCACCAATATGTATGCGAAGTGAATTAATTTTAACTGCGACCTCGATAGTGCTCTGATAACTTATTTAAGTAAACAAGAAAGATAGAGATATCTGGAACTATCATCGTCGAAAAAAGAAATTAGCCCAATATGGCTTTGTTAAAATCATAGTTTATTTAACAACCGAAAAACTTTATAGATATTGCATCACAGTTATTAAACAAACTAATATTTTTTTTAAACAGACGCCATCGTAAATATACTGCGCAATAAGCGTAAGGCTTTATTTTTTTATCAATTTTAACTTAATAATTTTATGTAAATTTAATAACTTTATGTGTGTGAGATTTATGTACAATTCATACAACTATAAACAAAATCTTGAGTGTTATAATGAACAATTTCGAAATATTTTTTTAACAGATGCAGAAGTAAATCGATATTAACATAAATTTTTCCTGTAATTAACATGTTATTTATGTGATATTAAAGTAAAAAGTATGCAACAATGGAAATTTTTTTAATATTACAATTATTACGAATAATTTCGTAATTCTATTTTTTCAAACCGATATTAACAAAAACATTTTGTGCAGTTAAGTGTAAATGTATAGTTTTCATATTTTTTGTAATAAACGTTATGCTATTTATGTAATGTTAAAGTAAAAAGCATACTACTATAAAAGTATATGATAAATACTTGTGAAATATTTTTATCAAACACTAGCGTAAATATATTGTTTAATAAGCATTAGGTTAAAGTTTTCTAACGATTAGCATAAATATTTCATTTTATTAACCTTATGCTATATTCTTATGTGATTTTTAAAGCAGAAATATAGTATTTTTTTTACAGATATAGACGTAAGTATGTATAGCAAACAGCACGAGGTATTAGTTTTCATTCAATATTTGCATAAATGTTTTGTGTAATTAACGTAATGTTATCGTTTATGTTAAGTTAGTAGTAACGTAATGTTAAGTTAAAATAAAAAGAATACAGCTATTAAAAACAAATTTAATATTTCTTTATTTGATATTAATAAAAATAAATAATAACCCCAAAATGACTTTGTTTAAGCAAATAAGAATTAAGTCTTTTAAAATAACTTACTTTAACGACATATAAAAACTGATACAATAATTATAACGATTTTGAAAAAAAGATACTGTTAAACTCTTTAGAGTAATTATTATTGTTAAATAATCCATATTCAAATACATTTTTAATTTATTTAAAAGCAAAAATTAACGCTAACAATTAATAAGTAACTTATTTATAAATAATCTTTTAAATATCAATATCTTTTGTATCAATCTTTCAAGAATCAGTTTCAGTTCCAATGATAAATATAGAATAAATGTTTTAAATATAATAATTAAATAAATAAAAATAAATAATTTTAAATAAATGAGTCAGCTGGCACTTTTTTGCCATAACTCAACGAAACACAACGTTTTAATTTTAAATCATAAGATCATACTTTATTATTAACAATCAATTTTAATTTAGAATAACATTTTCAAAGCAAATGCATTCAGAAAATTCTGTGGCATATTATGAATATGTCATTAAAAAATATTTATTTCTCCATTTAGATTTCGCAAACTATCAGAAGAAAGAAAAAATAATTCTCAAATCGAATTAGAAATAAACAAATTTCAAAATGTTCCAATATCATATTAAAAAATTCTAATTGGGCTAATGTCCTTAATTTATTAATTCGTTAAATAAACTTAACAGGAAGAAGCCAGATGAAAGATGCGCTCTAATTTGTTTTGCGGAACTGTGGACTGACCTGACAAATAGTCCTTTTGTTGCACTGACCAGTCGCTCTCCACCTCTCTATGACCCCTGGAGAGCAGTTAATCCCCTCGTTGACCAGGGGAGAGCAATGTGAATGACCTCATTTCAAACCAAAAGAAAACAATATTTTTCTCTCGAAATTCAGAAGAAAATTATTTTTCAAGATACATTAATTAAAAATAAATTATAACATTAGTTTTGCAACTAAAAAATGTAATAACTAAAATAAAAAATAATTCAGTTAATTTTTAATTAAAATAATACTAATATATTTGTATGATTTTTAGATTCCAACTCCGATAATAAAAGAAATCCGTTAATAATATTTATTTTATATTAATTAAATTTAATAGAATTAGTAAAAGATATCAATAAATTATTATCTAGACTTAAATATTATTACATTAAAGAATATTCAAAATACTTAGATAAATCTAGAATTAATGTAGCATAAAAATAACAACTTAAATTATTTAATATTTTTTTTAAAAATATATTTCCTGGGTTGATTAATTAATTTTTTCATAAAAACATATAAATGAATAAAATATTTAATTTGTATTTTGTTTTTAAATTTACCCCAAAATTCAGGAAAACATAAATAGTACAATCCAAATATGACCTGACGAATTGAAACATATTGTATTTCCTAGGTATTACATTTCCGTTAATTAAAAAAAAAAATTAAAATAAAAAAGGGCTTCCGTTTTGTTATTAAATCCATTCGTAATTCCAGATGATCGCACAAAAAATATAAACGGAAATAACCTTTCCACCAGTATATATGATTATTATTTTTAATTGAGATTCCGCGAGAAATGAAAAAGCGAGAACCAGTTTCAACCGCTCTCGGTACCTAAACAAACCTTTTAGTTACACAGCTGATCTATACAGATCATTGCACAGTTGTAGCAGTCACACCACTAATGTATTTTTCTCTCCCCAACCAATCAGCGTCAGTTGGAGGGATAAGGGTAGCGTAGCCTCGTTCTCCTATTGGCCATCATCTGACGTCACGCTCTTGTTGACGTCGTTGAATTTCGTGATAGGAGCCAAACGAATCTTGAATATAAAGTTAGTTGTCAACCAAGCGTTCGTTTGAACAAGTCGCATTGTGGAGTAGTTCGAAAGCGGGGCAAGCAGTCCCCTAGCTGAAAAAGGTTTAACATCCGGAGTGTGTTTTTAACATCTGTGGACAAATTCTGTGATAACATAGCTTTTTGTATCCAAACATCTCTAGGATTTTTATTTTAATTCCCATCGACCAAAATTCATCATAGTCAAAAAGTGCCACATCAAAAAAATACAACTCGACGCCATATTTGATTTATTATTATTAAATTAATCGGCCTAGTCAAACACATTTCAAATCACGGATTCCCAGAATCTGCAACTGTGGAGTGGTTTATATTATAGTGATTTTTTGACTTTTAACCAATTTCAAAAATGGAAATCGAAAGTGCATCGACTTTCCTAGCAAATCTCCTGCGATTGGAAAATCGCCACATCAAAATCGCGCGAGTGGAAATGTTTCGTAGAACTCTTGAAGATCTACTCAGGCACCATTATCAACATCATTGGTTCCCAGAAAAACCGTGCAAAGGCTCAGGATATCGTTGTCTTCGGATTAATCACAAAATGGACCCTCTAATCGCAAAAGCTGGTGACGTGTGTGGTTTTAACGAAGCCGACCTACGTAAGCTACTACCTAACGAGCTTACGATGTGGATTGATCCTCTGGAAGTTTCCTATAGAATTGGTGAGAACGGAAGCATATGTGTACTGTACGACGGAACAAAGAACCAGTTCTCTCCCGATGTCACCAGGTACAACAACCAGTACAGCCCTAGTACCGACCATCAGTACTCTCCGATCTCAATGAGGTACCCTGGTTGTAAGGAAAGTGCTCGTGGAACCAACTATTGGGATAGTTTCGTGTCAGATTCCCGTAATCGTGGCATGGAACAATTCGCAGCTTACGTCTCAGGCTAAAAAATAGTTTTTTTTTTAAAAAAAAATGGAGAATCGGAATTTTTTTTAAAATTCCGAATATTAAAAAATGAAAAAAAAAAAATTATTAAAAAAAATGGGTTTTAAATGTCCACACGTATATCTCCAGCCAAAATACTAGGCGTTCTCTCTGCGAATGCAAAAAAATGTGATCTTATTTTTATTTTTCCTCTACTTTATTTGGAGTATTTAAAAAAAAATGGATTAAAAAAAAAGGTAAAAATATTATTCATGTATTATATATCTTAAAATTTAAATATTGCAAGCAATCATTGTTGTAAGTAGATTTCATTATTTGTGTATTTTTCAGATTTTTTTTAAATGGGGAATTTTTTGTTTTTTTCGGGACCACCGGTCATATTAATGATTCCATAAATTTACCGTTGGCTTACCGTAAATTACTAAAGTTTACCCTCTGCATTATATCGACCGCCAACTCCATGGTTACCTAGAAAAGGACTAGAATTGACTTGTTTTTGTTTATTTTTTTTAATTATTACCGTCCGAAATTTTATATTTTGGACTATTTTAGAACTACAGTAGTGAGAAAATGGCGTGATGTTATAAAGCAATTTCTGTGATCAATACATGCCCACCTACCTGCATCAAAAATAAAAATACAAAAGCTCTCTGTGTGATGTTAAGGAGTTGAGCTTATTTGTATAAAGAAATTTAAATGTCAAATCAGGCCATTTTTAATTTTTTTTTTCCTTCTCTCCTCACTTATATGCTTTATCCATAATGTTTAAATCTTATTCTTCGCTGTCATTATTATTTGTTGTTGAGCGACAATGTATTTTAATTCATTGTTCATTAGTTTCATTTAAGACTTTATTTCCTAATTAGTAAAATTTGTAAAAAAAAAAATTATTTGCATGAACCCGGTTATTATTATCAATTTTATGCTTTCTCGGTATAAAATATTTCTGCTAGTCTTCCTAATAAATTGATATGACATGCTGCACAAATATTATATGTCATATTATGTAAAGAGAAAAAAAAATTCCTAATGTTCTTTTTGTTAAATATGTAGTTATAGCTTATTATGGTTTATTACGACTCTTGAGTCCAATAGCTAGCTATTGCACATTTATCAAAATTGATTATAATTTATGTCATTTAAATTATGTATTTTTATCCTATTATGCATGAGTGTGTATACGCCCTCTTCATAATGAATGATTTTCGCTGTGCCACTACTCATTATCTTCTTGGATGGTAAAAAAATTTTACTAAGTCCTATTTTTAAAGGCATTGTAATATATTTAATTGTTGAATATTTACAGTACAATTTTAAATATATATATATATTAAAAAAAACATCCAAGAAGAATTAGCATTTTTACGATGTCATTTATTATTAAGATGTTGTGTACACAGTTTGTTGATCAACAAGTTTTATAAGATCAGATGATTATTATTATTTTTTTAAAGATTGTTTTTTTTTTAAAAAATGAAATCTTTTAGATTTATTAAGTCTTTAAAAATGATTTTTTTAAAATGAAATCAAGATTTATTAAGTCTTTAAAATGATTTTTTAAATGAAATCTTTAAGATTTATTAAGTCATTTAAATGATTTTCTTTAAAAAATGAAATCTTAAAGATTTATTAAGTCATTAAAAAAGATTTTATTTTTTAAAAAAATTTAATCTTGAGATTTACTAAGTCATTAAAATTATAATTTTTATTGAAATCTAAAAAAAAATTTGTCAAGTCAGTAAAATGATTATAATTTTTTAAAAACCATATTTTTTTTAATTTATGTCATTATTATTTTAAGAGACCTAATGATTTTAATCCATTAAATTATTATTTTAAAAAAATCATTGTAATTAAATCTATCCTAAATCTTTTAAATTAATTTTTGTAAACAGTTGGTTTTAATATTTCACGATTATTTTATTGCATTTTTAATTATGAATTATTTTGTCAAAATCTCTTAAATACCTCACCAAGAATCTTTAAGATCATTCTCTATTGCTGTTTATTATTTTTATTGCCATTGCATTAAACTACTGTAGGGTTTTACAATTTCTATCTTCTCTTCTGGGTTTTCATTCAGCTGGCTGTCATCTGTACAAGTCATCCTGTACAAAAATTTGTAAAAAGTTATTTTATGTCTGTACAGTGATGTGATATAGAAGTTTTGTACAGTGACTTAATAAAAAGTACATGCAGCATAAATACTTGACTCATAATTTGTGTTAAGTAATTTATTTATTATTATTTAAGCTAAATGATTTTTGTTTTTAGGGTAAAGTTTTAAGTAATCTAATTACCAACGGTGAGCTTGCTGCAAATTAAATTTTATATATAAAAAAAAAACTTTCTATTCCAGAGGATTCATATTAAAGGTAAGTTAAATAAATATTATTGATTTCAAATTGGTAATTGTTTATTGCTGCAAATTGTTACAATGAAATGTATAATGTATCTTTTTTTTAAAATTTAAATTAAAACTTCGGTCTTTCAACTAAAAAAAAAATTGTTTAAGAAATAATTTTATCTCAAATTGAATTGAGTATAAAATCAGATTTGGAAGCTATTCAATTGTAGAAATATACATAACTTTTCAAAAAAATCATTGATTTAAAAAAAAAAAAAATGTTAGCAGCTTAATTTAAATTACTAATTATTTAATGTTACCTTAAATTATTTTTTAAATCAACTTTGATAGGAATAATTTTAAATAATTGTTAAATTATTATATTTTATTATATTTAAATATTAATATTTAAAAATGTATATAAGTTTTCTAATTAAACACCCAAAAAATTCTTTATGCTAAATCATTTCTTTATATATATTGCATTTATCAGTAAATCTAACTCTTTTAAATTTGTAATTAAGATCAATATTAATAAAAATTGCTTCTGTATTTAAGAAAAATCTCATGATAATTTAATTTATTACATTGAGTTCTTAATTTATGTAGTACTTTTTAATCAAAAATTATAAGATAGAATTGAAACTTTTGAAAAAAAATCTAAGAAAATATTTTCAATGTTTTCTTAGTTTAATGATTGAGATAGTTAATGTTTGTTAAATTGTAAAATAAAAATAAAATGTTAAGTATGATAAATATTTGGAATTGATAACAAATTTTTCCTTGAGTTTATTCTGTTGATATATGTGGAACTTAAGAAACAAAATAAAAACATTAACGATTGAACCTCCTTTATACAAATATCATTAAAAAACAGTTCTAATCAGATTAATTTGAGAAATTTGCTAACTGATGAGTTAAACATCACCTAAAAATTCAAGTTTCTGCATATGTGGCACTTAAGAATGAGGAAATAAAATTAACATATGGAAATTTAACGATTATTTCGTTACCTAGATCATTAAATTTCAATAAAATTAATTAACATGATTAAATATTAATATAAAAGTTTTGATATTATAAAATAAAAGTAATATAAATTTTTTTTGAATTTTATTTAATAATTAACATAATGGGTCTGCTATCTGAACAAAAGGTTATATAATTTTCATTTTTGAAACAATATTTGGAATGAAAAACGATAAATTAGTTATTATTGATGGATGAAGGTTCAAGAATTAAAGTAAGCTTTTGGAGAATGAGCATCAACTAATAATGAACAAACATATCAGCAAAAATGGAAACCATGTTATTAGTTAGAAGCACAAATATATTTTTATAATTATAAAATAGATATATATCTGGAATAAAAAAAATACTCAGGATAGAATTGATTAATTACATAAAAAAGTAGTACATTTTCGATAATTATAAATATATGAAATCAATGTAATGTCATTACCAGTGTTCAGATAATTGATATACCATTTAAAAGTTGACTACATTAACATATCTTTTCAGAAATAAGAGACGTTAGTTGTTGTACGTGCAAGCTTATGGAAATATATAAATTTCAAGATTAGATTGTTTAAATTCAAGCAAAATAAAAGGACTAGTGCGACGGTAAATGCAAAACTTTGCAACTAATAATTATAGTAAAGTAATCGAAAATAATCTGTTTTCAGAAATGGCATGATTAATTATATTAATTTTAAGAAATAATTAATTAAAGGCGTTCAAATTTAAGTTATTAAGTACGTCGGTAATGATGTTGACATTCTTAAGAATTCAAAAACTTCTTAATATAACTGATAATATTTACTATTTGATTCGTTTCCAAGAAATATAGATATTACTTTGAGTTTTAGGGTTCCGAAATCGATTTTTAATATTATTTAGCTGTTAAAATAATTTTCAAAACAATTTTTCTTAGAGCAAAGAAATAAAATAATCGATCATGTAATAAAATTCTAACATTAGGCTTAGCATATTTATTTAGGATTAATTAAATCGAACAAATGTAAAATAAATTCAAAAACTAAACAAAATATGTAAAAAATATTCTTTATAGATCAATGTTTAATATTTATTAAATTTTGATTTGACGTTTGATTAAAGTAATTTCCTTAAAATCGAGGAAAAAATGGTGGAAACAGAATAGAGAAGTAGGCTTAGCGAAAGAATTCGAAGTTTCGCCTTCAGCTAAAAATCTAGGTTACATAGCAACAGCGGAGTGGAAGTCGGTTGATTTCGTGGCACCATGATTGCGTGGATAAGTAGGAAAAAGACACAAGTTCTTCTAGTTAACAAAAAAAAAAATTGTTCTGAAATACTTACTCATTTTTCTTGACCTAAATTTATATGAGACGCAATCATAATTGAATGGTTTGAACTACAAAAGGAAATTAAGAAAAAAAATTGTTTTTCTTCTTTAAGTTCATTCATACTAAGCTTAAATGAAATTTATTACCGTGTTATGAAGCAAATAAATTTTCAGCAAATCATTGAAACAAATTTTTGATATAAACAATGTAAGATTTACGGCGCTATTAGGTGAAGTATTAGATGTCAGCTTTTAATGATTCGGTTAATGAAGGTTTGAACTTATTTGTAAAATCGATAAAAATAGTTGAAATGGATTAAAAACGATATAGTTCATTCTTAAAAGTGTTATTTAATTTAATTCTTTTTTAGAGCTTAGAAGAAGTTGAAAATTTGTATCGATATTAAAATAATTTCAGTAAATTATTGAAACGGTTGTTCAAATGTGAATGTCAGTAAATTATGAATTTAAATTTTTGATGTATAACCTTCAAAGGATTCTGTCGCTTGGTGACGTTTTAGAATTTCTGAAATTTGAACTTTTGTTTTAATGAATCTGACGACGAATTAAAGAAAGAAGAAATTAGTTGACAAAATAGTGAATTAAATCGCTAAGTCTATCGAAATTTTGATTATGCCTGAAATTTTGAGTTGACGTATTTAAAGAGAAAAATAAGTTTAATTCTTGAACATATTCGAAATTTTAATTCTTTTATAGGGCATAAATAAAATATTTATATCATGATATAAATTTCAATTTATCTCATCATTATTAAGTATTATATTTTTAGTAGATACTGAAAAATAATTTTAAACAATACAGGCTCATTGAAGATTTAAATCGTTGGTTGTTTAAAATATGGCAGGGGTCTGTCTAGGTTTTTCTGAAAGGTACCTATTTTGTGAAAATTTTGACATAATTTGTGAAAAATTATATTAAAAAGTCAACACAAAAACATGGTAAAAATATAGTTTTATTGTTTCTTAAGGGATACAAAAATAAAATTTTAATAAAAAGTATTTTGTGAAACTGCCGTTTTTCCTAAAGTTGAATTTGTGAAACTACCGTCTTACCTAAAATCGAATTTGTGAAGGTACCGCTAAACGGTAGTAAATTCGACCTGGACAGACCCCTGTTGGTGACGTGTAAACTTCTAAAATAATTAATTTGATTTTAAAATAATATTATTTATTTTTGAAAGTTATCGAATATTACAACTAAATTTGCACAAGTCTTTTCTAAAAGTCAGATTAGCTTTTCGTATCTTATTATTTCTCAATGTTTTTAAGTGAAAATATTTTAAGTTAATTGTGATAGTGAATTTTTTTATTCATATTATTTTTTTTAATTCATTTTTACTCATTTAATTGATGAAGTTTTAGATATTTAAATTTTACGATTAAAATTTTAGAGCAGAATGTATAAGCTAGTCTGACGAAGAATTAAAGAAATTAACTAATGAGGAATCAGTTGACGAAATTAAGTTGAAAATAATATTGTTCATTTATGTAGTGTTTTGGGGAATTTCATCAAAACGACATTCTTTTTTTTTTCAACTGCAAATAAATGTATACAAGAGATTGTGTTAAAAAAAAAAGGAATTTTTTTATCATAAAAATTTTATGGCTTAAAGACCTAAATTTAATTGATAAGATTGTTATTTTAATTTTTTTTTTTTTGCAATCGATGAAAATCAAACTACTTATTGGATAAGTTAGTCTGGCGAAGATATGAAGAAATTAACTAACGCAGAATTAGTTGATGTTCAAAAAAGTATTAAGTTTTTAGCCGAGTTCATCGAAATGTTAATTCCTTTCTAAAGTGCGAATGATGTTTATACAAGTGTTATAAAGAAAAAAATATTTTTTTACATAAAAATAATTTAAAGGTCTAAATTTGTTTAATAAGGTGAATTTCAGACTAAATTCCTTTGTACTATTCAGCGCATTAAGAAATTTGTAAACAAAGAAATTAACGAGGACATTTAGTTAGCAATAGTATCAGTAATTCTTTGACAGTTATCAAATTTTACTTTTAAGATATATAAAAATGTTTTTTGAGTAATTTATTTATCAAATTTTGAGTTTAGATATTCTAAAAGGAGTATTTTCTACTGTAAAATTAATTTTTCATAATTATTTTAATCGTAAACATTTCATGAATGCTATTTGTGAATTAGTTCATTTGCATTAGAATTATATTCTGTAAATTATGGAAGTTTTTTTTTACAAATAAGTTACATAATTTCATTAAGAATCTTTGATTTAGGTATGTATGAAACTTAAACTTCGTATCAAAATGACGAGAAATAAAATCTAATAGTTGAAGAAAATAAGTTGTAATTAATTCTTGAAAGTTTAAAGAATAATAATTTTTATAGAATAAAAATGTCATTCTTAACTATAAAGTACTTATTAACGCTAATATGTTTTGCATTACCTTTTGAATGAAAAATAAATTTTATGTTACGAATTACATTTACTATGTTTGGTCTTAATTTATCAGATTTATATGCATGGCTTTTAAACTTCGGTA